GTCTGTGGATGCTCAGTGCTGAAGGATGGGCCAGATTGGAATAACTAACCTTGTCCAGGCTCTCCTGCACAGTTCTGCTCCATCACTGAGAACCTGCAGTGCACTGAGAACTTGCATTGTGTAGGTGCTCTAACAAATCCCTCTCAGTATTATCTGGATTTTGTAGATGAGGAAATGGAGGCACAAAGAGGTGGAATAATCTGCCCAAAGTTTCACAGGGAGGAGGGAGATCTGGAAGAGAGCCTCACCGGGACACAGCCCTACCTAGGGGGCGCACTCCCTGGAGCTGTGGCACTGGCCTCCAACACACTGGCTGCTGACCCTTGCCTCCGTGAGGTGAGCTCAGCTCCCCTGCGAGAACCCATTCCTGTCCAGCTGAGCTGTTGATCCCAGAGAGCAGACCAGCAGCGAATGGGTTACCAGAACCGCAGCTTGGGTGCTGGTGGCCATGAGTGCCCAGTGGAGGGAGTGGGATGGAGGCATGGGACTCTACTTTTTCCTCTGCCATTGAGTACTGGGAATTAACCCAGAGCCTTCATACTGAACTACATCCCCAGTCCTTTTTAATTTTTTTTTTTTTTTTTTTTTTTGAGACAGGATCTTGCTATGTTACTAGCTTGAATTTAGGCTTGAACTTGCAGTCCTCCTGCTTTGACCTCCCAGAGTGCTGGGATTTTAGGCCTGTACCATCATGTCAAGCTGGCACACGGCTTCTTGAATCTTCTTGAAGATGGCGTGCTTTTGAACAGGATTTAGGCTTCACATCACACATCTTGGGCCCCTTTCACATAGTGTGTCGTGGGGAGGTGGGTCCGTCTCTCTGAGCCTTAGTTTCTTCATCAGTAAATGTGACCCTGGAAGCTCCTACAGGAGTCATGTGGTGAATCTTCAGTGAGGATTAAAGTGCTTTGTGGGCTAAAGAAAAGGCCTCTTGCTGTGCCCAGGGGCATGTACCTGTCATCAATCACATCACTCTAAAAGAGGCTGAGACAGGAGGATTTCAAATTCAAGTTCAATGTGGGCAAATTAGTGACTTAAAGTGCCCTGTCTCAAAGAAATCAAAGAAAAAAAGGAGGGGAAGGTATAGCTCAGTGTGAAGGCTCTGGGTTCAATTCCCTGTGGCACCAAAAACAAGCAAAAAACTTCCAACATCGTGACTGCTAGTCCTGGGGTGGTCTCATGAGTCCTGCAGATTCTGTCTATACAGCCTGTCCGGATCCCATATGAGGAGAGGTAGGGTGACCGGTAACTGAGATCCACCCTCCCAGGAGGGCAGACAGCCACAGGCCCTCAGCAGTGAGTTCCCATCCTGTTGCTGCTCCCTCCAGGTGCTGGCCCCAACTTGCAAGGAGATAGAGACTGGTGTCCTCAGTAGGCAGAAAGCTGGCATCACAGGCAGAGATTTAGAGTCACAGCCTGACACGCCTGCTAAAGGCACAGTCCCTATTGATGCAAGCAGGACATGGGTAACTTCTTCATTGTTCCTGATACTATTGCTGCATAGCACCCACCAATAAGGGTACAGAATAAGAGCCCTTGGGCCATGTTCTCAGATTCCACGGGTCAGAGATTGAGAATGAGTGCTGTGGGAATGCTTTGTCCTTACCCCACGGTGTCTGGGACTTTAGCTGGGGCAAGTTAAAGGTTATGGGTGACCCCACAGCTGAGGGCTGTGATCATCTGGAGGCTCGTTCAAACCAAAATCAGGCCTATGCCAGGGTGGGGGTGGCACATGTCTGTATTCCCAGCACTCAGGAGGCTGAGGCAAGAGGATTGTATTGTGGTGAGGCCAGCCCACAGCTTCATAGTGAATTCAGGCCAATCCACGTAGGGAGACCCTGTCTCAAAAAAGGAAAGAAGTTTGTCACAGTATGATTGAATATGTCAGTAATTCTAGTGCTCTGGAAAACTGAGGCAGGACGATCTCAAATTTGAGCCCAGCGTGGACATCTTAGTAAGACCCTGTCTTAAAATGAACACTAAAAAAAAAAAAAAAAGGCTGGAGATATAGCTCATTGTGAAGGCCTTGTGTTTTTCCAGTACAGACACAAAACAAGGGGAAAAATTACATTAATTAAACAATCAAGTCTCAGATTTTCCAAATTGAGGATAGTGTTTAAAGTCTGGGAAACAAAAAAGTACCTCTGTACTGAGAAACATTTATTCTTCCTTTCTGTGCCAGACCAGTTCTGGGCCTCAATGAACAGTGTCTCTCTTTGGCCTGAGCAAAATGCAAGGGGTGGTGTGGGGTGAATAAAAGTAGAGAATCACACAGAGGCAGAGGCCTGGGGGTGGCCCTGGCTGTGCACACACTGGTGACAACAGTCTCAGTACCCTCACAACTTGAAGGTCTCCTGTGTTTTGAGCCCAACGCCTTGGAGAGGGCCCAGCCTGTGTCTGGGGGCTGCACTGGGGAGGTTGGGCAGGGAGGGGCAGCCCTGTGGTACAGGGGAAGGGCCGGAGGCTGGGCTTTGAGCAAGTGAGAATGGTAGACTATGAAAGGCTGGAGGCCCAAACCTCCAGGCTGCACTCAAGCCAATGCTTGAGAGCACAGGAGAGCTTTAGAGGTAGTGAGAGCCCCGTCTCAGGGGGCAACCAAGCACACACTGAAGCCAAGCTTCCTTCACTATCTTGGTGCACCTGAAGCCCCTGGGCCAGTGTGGGATGTCAGAGCTTCTAGTTCCCTCCTGGCCCTCTTCCTCTTTACCCCTGATCTGGTCCATCTTCACATTTCTGCCAATCTGTCTAAGCTAAAGTGACATCTGTGGGTGATATCTGTTGGGTACCTTCATGATTTTGCAATCCTCTAGTGCCTTAGTTATGATTTAGATCTAAAATGCCCCTCCCAAGGGCCAGGGTTTAGCTCAGTGGCCCATCCTCACCCGTGGACTTGTCTACTGAGGGGCCCGGAGCTGCATATGCTCCGGAGATGGGCCTGGTCAGAGGAGGCAGGACACTGGGTGGGGCCTGGAAGAGTGCATTACTGCCCCTGGCTCCTCCCTCTCTGTTTCCTGCTTGCTGTGGTGTTAGCTGCTTTCCTCCACCATGACTTTTATCCTATCATTTCTGCCTTGTATCCTACAAGCTTGGACTGAATCCTCTGAAACTGTGAGCCAAAATGAACCTTTCCTCCTTTACATTGAAGGTGCTTGGTATTTTGTTACACTGATGGGAGAGCTGATTAATACAGCTTTGTTTCTGTGCGCATGTCCTCATCCTCCTTTGCCTAAAGCACCTCTCACTTCCCTTACCCCACACCTTCTCTCTCTTTGATGCTCATTTCTCCCAGGAGCTGCATCTTTTCTTCTCTCCTTTCCTTGTACCTACCCTGGATTTTCCTGTTGCTTTGACACTCAGCAGATGATCCTGTGGCCACTGCAGGGAGTGGAGTCTGTGGCCAACACCCGACTCTAATCTCTTTTTCCCTGAAGCTGTTTTGGGCTGTGGAAACCCCATGTCAGTACCTCTGTGTCTGAGCTGGAGGCTTCCCAGGATGCAGTCTTCATGACAGAATCCACTACCCAGGTCCTGTGCGTCCTCCTCCTTGAGGAACACTGTCTGCCCCTCCCTCCTCAATGTTGTTGGTCTTGAGCATTGGCTCCCTGCTGACAGAGATCTGTCAGGACGTAAGTCCTGGCGAAAAGCTGGTGACTTACACAGGTCCCTCCTCACAGGTGCATGTGTCTGCCCAAGACCTCATCTTCCTTGATCATGGCCTCATCTCTCATGCCTTTGACCCTGCTCATGTCTCTGATCTCTTTCTTGTAGGTACGGTAGTCCTTGACCACTTTTCCCTGGACATCTTCTTCCCGCGAGCTCAGGCTGCCCTCTAGAACTCTCATCCCAGGCTGAGCTCAGCACCACGGATTCTCCACTGCATCCCACCCTCGAGCTCTGTTTCTCTTTTCTTCTCTGACTTCCTCCAGTTTCTTCTTCTTCATTTTCCTAGATCCCACTCAGACTGGACATTTTCTGTAAATGAGACCCTGTCTTCTAACTCTAACTTTCCCTGCCCATGGCATGCCTCACTCCATGTCCCCGGAGTCACCTAAATAGTGAGACCCTGTCTCAAAAAAATGAGAAAAAGAGTCTCCAAAGAATATGGGTATTTAGTGGTGAACAGGAAAGCACTGTAGTGGGAACACATATAGTAAATAGTGGGTAGATTCAAAGAGGTTGAGGCAAGAGAAAGTTTTTACTAAGCCTGGGTCCAGCAGACCTATTCCTTATTTTCTTCTATAAATTTGTACTTTCGTGTTATAGTAGCCAGATGTATCTCAGCACCTTTTCCTGAGGAATACAGGAAAAATCTATGTGTTTACCCTCTTGATATGACAAGCAGCAAGGTGTGTGCACACGTACAAAAGTGTCAAAAAGGGATTTGGATCCACCTTCACGCTCCAGCCAACTGGTTTTAGCGGAGCATCATAGAGGGACTAATAGACCCCACACCACTTCACTTCGCTTTTAAAAAGGTTGATTTTGATTTTTCTAGTAAAAGTAGCCAATTCAGTACAATAGTACATCAAAAATCAGATGTGTACATTTCAGAGGTCAAATGTGAATCATCAGATTCCATATCCATTATGGTAAAGTATATGCTTTCATAATGGAAGGCTGGTAGGGGTGGGTGATGATGACAATGACCTTGGCATTGGCCATGGGAACCAAAGTTCCTGTGACAGTGAAATGGAGAAAGAATCAACTGGTACAGACACAGGGAATGCAGATCTCCTTGATTCAGATGAGGATGAAAACAGCAATGTGAGTCCACATTTGACTAGTAAAAATAAGAAATGGTCACACAACCAAATGGGATGATCCAATGTTAATACTAGGCCTGAAAATACGGTGGAGGTCTTGGCAGGGGTGAAATGTATGGGACTGAATGCCAGCACTGTCGTTCACCACTGGTAATTTTAACAAATGAAATGCTACAAGTTGCTGTGAAATACATAAAGGTTAAAACGCAAGCAAAACATTCTGTATGCACCCACAGCAGTATTCAAATATGTATTTATTGTGACACCTCACTAGCTGAATGGAAAGCATTCACAGGTCTGCTGTATTTAGTGCAGATTTTTCAAGGTGATCCCAGGAATGTAAAATAATTATGGAAAAGTGATGGATCAAAATATGGCATAAAAAATTTATGCCAGTTTAGACATTGATCCTAGAACTCAGCCACCAGGTCCTTATTCATTCAGTAGTAAACCAAACAATGTGGTGAACAGACTTGTTGCTCCCATCTTACAAACTAATCAGAATGTGACATTTTCCCATTCTCTTATCCCTTTTCAGTTGATCTTACATTTGCTAACAGAGCACAAGCTGACCAGTGCAGAAACTGTACACAGGAACAAAGCAGAAATTCCAAATGAAATGTTGCAGTTTCAAAACAGAGAATTATTGAATACAATCTTTGAATTTTGAAAAGATACGACCTTGGCCACAGATAAGGCAGGGAAAGCCAACTGATGCTGCTGATGTCAACATTTCACCATATTGGAAATATGGGAACTGTTGGACACTATTTTGGGAATATGGGAAACCTTCGACAAAAGGGAACTTGAAAAGGAAGCTCTCAACAGCACAGCCTAAGGCAGAGTAGAGGTTGTTGCTGAGTTGTGCAGCAGCTATGATGTCACTTGAAACACAAAGTATTGGCCAGTGGTTGTTTTTCACTCAGTCCTAAACATGTGTGGCATAAATAGCTTGATAGTTAACAAAGAAAATAACAAGTGCAAAATATCCTGGAGAAATTTTCTTAGAGGATTGGGATTAGAGCTCACAAGAGATTATTTACAGCAGAGAAAAAATAAAATGTTTCTTCTCAGGGAAGTAGGCAAAAACTTGTAGAGCGCCCTGGTGAGGTGGCAGGTCAATAGACTGGTGCAGTAGCACAAAGACAACAGGAAATTCAGAAAGATGGCAGCTGCACCCTATAAGAAAGTACAGGAAAACAAAAACATACATTCTATCAGTACAAGTGATACTTGTGTGTGGAACACACAATTTTCATGTGTGAAGACTGCCTTGGGTGTGACATTTGAAGCAAAAGTTATTTCTGGGATAGACTTTTGTTTTTTACCCTGTGGTTCACCTAATTTTTTTTATGTTATCTTTTAAGTTTTGTAAGCAAGGAAACAACTATTGTGAAAATGTTGATGTACCCATTGCATATTTGATATTGTACTTTATTGACATCTTATTACCCTGATAAGTACGTGTTGTATGGTACAGCAGGAAGCACCTGACTAAACAGGAATAGAAGGCAATAAGACCGCCACATAGGAAAGGAAAGCTAAGCACACGTGTGCTGTCAGTGTAAGGGAGATGTGTGCGTGGAACACGCCGTTGTTTTGTGTGAATATTGCCTTGGGTATGAGATTTGAAGCCAAGCTTATTTTTGTGGTAGAGTTCTATTGGTATTTCCACTGTGGTTCATATAGGAATTTATTTCTGATGCTATCTTTTAAACTCAATAAGGAAGTACACAGCTCATGTGAAACTGTTGATGTCTACTCTAAGTGCACAATATGTGAAGGATTTAATAATTTATTTTATTGATACTTTATGTTCCTGTTAACTACATACTGTATAATATAATATAATTAATATAATATAAACATCCTGACAAAACAGGAAGGCCATTGAGATGCCAAGTATGTCTGACAAAAATACCAGGGAAAAAAAAAGCCAAGAAAGCAAAAGACATGTGCTGTCGGTGAAAGCAACACGTGTCTGGAATGTTCTGATTTCACGTGTGCAATTTGCCTTATGTGTGATAACTGAAGTAAAGGTTATTTTTATAGAGTACAAGTATGAATTTTCATTGTAATTCATATGGGAATTTATTTCTGAAGTTCCTTTTTAGACTTTGTACATCAAAAATCAGTCGATGTTGAAAATTTCAATGCTTTTTTATAAACACTCAATAAATATTTAAAACTCAATATTTTATTTTTGTGATATTTTTCCTGTTACGTACTCATTTTTTAATATCATAAAACTTATAAAATTAAAATTAATAATTCATCAATAGAAATATCCTAAAGAATAAATGTGTATGCACCTTGATGACAAAATTAGTCTTATGCTCCAAGGGTTACAGGTTAAAACAAGAAGGATGATTTCAGATATTTTTAAATAATTGTCCTGCACCACAGTGATTAATGACAAGAATGCTGCCACTCTGAGGCTGAACACACGGCTGGTGGGCAGATGTCCTTATGGAAGGACTTTTTGTGTAGCGTCTCAATGGCCTACCTGTGGTTCTGGCAGGGTCTTTTGTGACAGTCCCTGCCAGGCAAATATGTGTAAGAGCCCTTCCTTCAGAGCCTCCTGGTTTATTTCCGTTGTTGTTCTGGTTATTGCTTTTAGGGTTGGCACAAGTGACTCCACTTTTAGTCTGACAGCTCTTACATTTCTCTCACAGGGTGAACAAATAAGGGTAATCATTTCAGGTCGTGCTAAGGACTGTAAACAAAGAAAGCATGCAGAGAGATAGGGAGCGGATGACCTTGAAGGTGGCTCTCTGAAGAGCTGGAGGTCGTGTGGTCAGCAGAGTCCCTGAAGAGGGAAAGCTGTGTGCTCAGAAGCCAGAAGGGCAGAAGCACTATACCAAGAACGAGCACAGCACTTTATAATGTTATTCTTTAACATTTTAAATGTTTTTGTTTTTTAAAACAGGGTCTTGCAATGTAGTTCAGACTGGCCTTGAACTCACTGTATGGTGGAGACTAGCCTCAACCTCCAGACGATTCCCTAGCCGCAACCTCTCCAGTGCTGCGATTACCCCCAGATGGCTGAGGACCACTCTGAGAGGGAGCAGGATCCTCCCTGGCAATCTGGGTTGAGCCCGAGGCAGGCAGAGCAGCCAGGGAGAAGCACCCCATCTAGCGGACAAGGAGGAAGCAGCAGCCTCAGCCTTCAGGAGACCCTGTGAGAAGCTGCAGTGGGACCTGTCCTGTTCCATAGAGGCCCAGCAGGCTGGGACCCCTGGCTGTCCAGACCTTTAGATTTGCAATCTGCAGCAAGTTCTCTAACTTCTGAGCCTCAGACTAGACACCAAGGAGGATCATGTGACACACGCAGGGAAAGCGCCCAGCATGCACCTCGGCCAGTGTCAGTTTCCTTCCCTGGATGTGAGTAAGAAGGGCCCAGGCCAGAGCAATCGGCTCCCTGGATTCTGCAAGGGGCTCTGGGCTTGGGGCCAAGCCCGTAGCTCTCACAATGGGTTTCTCAGCCAGGGTTCTCATCCTCTGGGACTGTCTCCTGAATCTGTCCCACAGAGAGCAGGGGCGAGGAACAAGGTGTTGGAGGTGCTTCCTACTTATATCCCTTTACTGGTTTGTTGGACAAACTTTCCGTTCCTGTCCCTGTCTCTGGAGCCATAGCATGTAATGAAGTTCTCCAAATTTTTGAATGTATTTGGAAAACAATGACCAGTTAGGGTAGGACTCATATACTGCCTGGGGCTCACGGTGCTGAGAAGAAAATCCTGGTCATGATCACCATGGTGTCCCTGTCCTCCAAGTTTGCGTGGTCAGGCAAGATAGGGCAGGAGGAGGAAAGGTGGTAAGAAAGACAGTGCAAAGGTCCTGAGTTCAATCCCCACTGTTACACGAAAAGAAAAAAAAGTTATAAACTGGACAAGGGCAAGGCTTTGAGGAGATTGAGGAGGTTGCCGCCTTCTTTGGCCTCTCTCCACTTAACTGCTTCCTCTGTCCCATCCCTCTCTGTCTTTCTTGTCTGTGTCTTCTTTCTTAGGCTATTTTCTGGAGACTCGAAATGAAGTGGATCATCAAGGAACTCAAGAAAGAAGAAACATGGGTTGAAGGAGGTTTAGAAGACTCTTCCAGAGTTGCAAGGAGGCCAAGCCTCGATTTCTGTGTGCTGGCCAGACCTACAGACAGGTCCCAGATGGGCTCAGCCACAAGGGCCATTCCCTGACATGGTTGCCCAACACAGCGGTCCAATCAAGGTCCACCATCATGCTCTCTGCCCTGCAGTCCAGCTGGCAAATGTGTTGTGAAGGTGAGCTCCTTCCACCCCAACCCCAGCCACTTCCTCCTCCCTGCACTATTCTGTCCCCAGATGCTGAGGAACAGCTGTGAACAAGGTTTGCCCATGCGAGGGAGCAGAGGGTGACAACAGATACTATTGATTCTGTGTCGTGAGGGGTGTAGTGCAGGAGGTAGAGGACACTGCATCACAGGGAAAGGCAGCTCAGATGCGCCTGCGAGTCACCAAGGCTGAGCTAGCAGAAGAGAGGTGAAGCTCAGACCCAGAGAAATCACTTGGCTGGGTGCTTTGTTAGGAGAGGTGGGGGAAAGGAAGAGGTGATCCCCGAAGAGGAACAGCAGGGGTGTGGGGAGCTGGCCCGAGGCACCAGGGTGGGAACAGAGCAAGCCGGGTGCCTGGGGCTGGCAGAGACCAAGCAGGATGGATGAGACCAAGTTGTGCAACTTGAATTTGACCCTAAGAGCAATGGGAGCCAAGGAAGACATTGGAGCCCAGGAGTGGCTTGATTGGGTTTGATTGAGAAATCTCACACACGCTTACATGGTACCTAGTTAGAGAGAGTGAAAAATGGTCAGTATTCTTTAACACAGTGATGCACAGCTTAAATTCCAGAAATCTGGGATGCTGAGGCAAGAGGATCCCAAATTTGAGCAGGGCCTGAACAATTTGGCAACCTCCTGTCTCAATATAGAAAGTAAGAAAGGGCTGGGGATGTAGCTCAATGGGAAAGCATCCCATTACCAATACCAAAAAAACATCAAAAGTTAGCATGACTGGGGGTGTGGCAGCAGGGGACAAGGGACTGGACCAACAGATCCACCGCAGCCTTATGCAGGCTGGGCTGACAAAGGATGTCCAGGCCCTGATGGGCACCAGTGGGCAGAACAAGTGACTGGGTCTGATCACTGGTTAGGGAGGTGCTGGGCCATGTGGTGCAGCGGGGGAAGATCACAGGGAGAAGAAGAGACAGAGGATGGGGGGGGGGAGCAGGAGACAGTCCTGGGCTGGAGAACAAGGAGGATCAGCACACTTAGGGGACAAGGGGACAGGTGTGGGGCCCGGGACAAGAGGAACTGAGGCAGCGGTAGGACATCCGCATGGAGACACTGTGACAAAGGGCTTGGGGTCAGGAGAGCTCCGGTATGGAGACCAGGTCAGAGCTCGTTCTGTCCTCCTGCATGTTAACTTGTCTCCATGAATCTATGTTCACAGGGGCTGACAGGTGGTCCAACCTGGCCCCTGTCTTCCAAGGGTTGCATTCTAGTGTGGAAGAGCCGAGTCCTTGGCTCAGATCTGAGTGTGTATGAAACATGGTAGAGCCAGGGGTAGTGGTCCCTGCCTGTGATTCTTGTACTGAGGCAGAAAGATGGCAAGTTTGAGCCCGGCCTGGACAACGTAGGGAGAATCTTTCTCAAAATTTAAAAATCAAATATAAAGGCTGCAGATGTATGTACCTCAGTGGGAAGGCCTAGGGTTCAGTCCCCAGGGTCACAAAAGATGAAAGAGTAAAGATAGGATGGAGCGAAGGCAGGAATGGATGATGAACTCCCAAGGCAGGCAGAGAAGGCTTCCTGGAGGAGGCAGCTCCAGGTGGTTTGGTGGAGAAGGAGGGATGAGCAGAGCCCTGGGGTTTATCTGTGGGTCTCTCCCTCCCCTGCGGCGTCCACATGTACATCCTCTCTTTCTCTTCCAGGCTCCTGTGAGCTCCGCCTGCCTTTCCTCCCACAGGAGGACTCAGTCCCAGGCACACACCCCAGTCCAGGGTGCTGTGCCAGGTGTGCTGGTGCTGTGGGCACTGTGGCAGCAACGGGGCGGCCAGACAGGCACAGAAGGCCTCATGTCCAGGAACACTCCTGCCCTCAAGAGAACCAGTGCTGGGCCTGAAGGAAGAGGCCCCTAGGTCCCCTCTAAGGGTCCCTACCTCCTCAGAAAGCCCCAGCCTCTGCTTAACAAGGTAAAATTGTGACAAAATAAAAATAAAATAATGTAAGGGAAGGACTGGGAAAAACAAAAGGCTGAGCATGTGGCTTAGAGCACTGGGAATTGGATCCGTGGTCTCCTCCCACCCCACCCTCCCTGCCCCTCCCACCTCCCCCTCCCTGCCCCACCCCAAGAGAAATCTATTTGCAGCAGTTATGAGAAACCTTCCCACCCAGGAGGCCTGGTTGGAAAAGCCTGCTCACTCACACACACACACACACACACACACACACACACACACACACACACCCCTAGTGCTCTTGGCTTCAGCCTGGGGCTTGGCCTGGCAGGGTCCTCAGTCTGCAGGGGCTCTGGGGGACACAGGAGGAGCATCTGCTGGGAAGATACTCTGGCCTCTGTGCCCCCACCTCATAGTGAATGGAGGCCACACTGATTCTGCTCAGGGACTTATTGTGGCCAGGGATGGGCTGAGCTGGGCTGGGGAGGCCCGATGGGGTGCAGCTGATCAGAGAGCACAGGGGTCCTGCCTGGCCTGGAGGAGCAAGTGTGCTGTGGGAGACCATGGTGATTAGGAGGGAGGATGGAGGGGCAGCAGGAGCGGATGCAATGGAGACACAAGCCACAGGGACTTAGCTGTCTGACATTGGGAGAGGGGTCTCCCCAAGGAGAAGCAAGCGGTATTTCACCAGCTGGTAAAATTTAGGGATTTGAAGGTCCACAGGCCTTGGGGGTGGCAGAGGCAGCCAGTTCCTAGGAAAGAGGAAGAAAGGAACAGAAACAGAGAGGACAGGAGGGAGGAGACCTGAGGGAGGACAGACAGGGGTATAGTACAGGGGACATGAGAGAGTCTGAGTGGTACAGGTGAGGAGGGGAAGAAAGGGGAGCTGAGCTGAGCTGAGCTGGGTGATGCCCAGGAGCTCACTTGTGAGTGGCGCCCCTGGACTGAGCACAGACAGTCCAGAGATGGAGCAACAGGGGCCCCCGAAGAAGGCTTGTTCAGGCCCCCACCACAGGTCTGGGATTTTGGCTCCATGGTGGCATCAGGGCAGCCTTTCTGGAGTCGGCATCCCCACCCTCAATGCTTCGAAAACTTCTGTAGAGTCTTCTCTTCCCTCCTATTTGAACCTAGGGACTTTGAAAGAGCCACACCCCTAGTCCTCTCTTACCTGTTTACTTTGGGAGAGGGTCTTGCTAAGTAAATAACTTGCTCTGTCTGGGCCCAAACATAAGATCCTCCCTCCTCAGCCTCCCCATGCTGTCACCACAGGTGTGACCCACCACACCCAGCTGTTCTGAGCCTGTGAACTGCCTGCCACACCTCAGTACCTACAGACACAGTTCTGCCACCCAGTTCTCATTCAGCAGCTACTGCTTCTGTAGGGATGGGGTCTGTAAGCAGGGAAAAAAGAGCATAAACACTTCATTAGTCTTTATTCAAGAAATTAGTAGAAAATCTTACTAAAAATAGCTTTTGTCTCTGCAGTTAGATTCACTTGATAACATTGTTTTCTATTGTTTTGTTTTACTTTTTTTTAAAATTTTATTTAAAGAAAGACTAAACAAAACAGAAAATGGGTAGAAATAATACATACGTTCAAAGAAAAAATAAACAGTAAGAAATCACTAGTTGATGTTTACAGATTGTCCTCTTACAAATTGTTATTCAAGATACAATAGTGGAACACAGAAAGTGGAAATTCAAACAGTGAGACTGCAAAGAGTTCTGTTCAACTATCCAACAAAAACTTAGTAACATGGTCAATCCTAAACACTTAAAGATACATGCAGTTATCAATATCTTCATTTATGTTGACATTAAACAAACTAAGGCAGGCTAAAATCATTCTGAACAAAGCATAATAGTATTGCTGGATTTCACATCATGACACTCTAGGAAGAGCACTAGATACTATAGTGTACTAGGTACTATAGAAAGACTAAACGAAACAGAAAACAGGTAGAAATAATACATACTTTCAAAGAAAAAAATAAACAGTAAGAAATCACTAGTTAATGTTTATATACTGTCCTCTTACAAATAGTTATTCAAGCTACTAAAGTGGATCATATAAAGTCGAGATTCAAAGAGTGAGACTGCAACCAGTTCTGTTCAACTATCCAACAAAAACATAGAAATATGGTTATCAATCCTATACACAGAAACATACATGCAGTTATCCATATCTTCAATTACGTTGAGACTGAACAAACCCAAGCAGGCTAGTATCACTCTGAACAAAGAATAATACTATTGCTGGGTTTCACATTATGACACTCCAGGATCAGCACTGGATAATTTAGTGTCTTTTTTTCTTCAAAGTATTTTTTCATTTCATCTTGTGTCATAAGATCAGTTCTCATCTTTATTTTGTGTTTTAAGACACGATCTTGTTTTGTAGCCCTGGCTGGCCTTGAAATCAGTATGCAGCCCAGGCTGGCCTGAATTGGCAGCAATCCTAGTGCCTCAGCCTCCCAACTGCTGCGATTACAGGGATGTGCCACCACACATGCTCTGAACTGAGTAGCTTGAGCATGCTAGGGATGTCTGCTACCACTGAGCTCTATGCTGCAGCCTACCTTTGTATTCTAAATGAAGTGGATTTGCACACAGCTTTTAAAAACAATACAAGATGATCCTGTATACCTTTTATCCCATTTCCTCCAATACAACATTTTGTCTAACTTTCCTGTAATTGCCACTATTGTTACAATCAGGAAGAGACTTACTATTTTTCCATCCTAGAGATTGACCTAGGGCCTTTGCACTAAGCTATATTCCCAGCCACCACTGCCACCTCTTTCTTCTCTTCCTGCTTCTTGGGGTTTTTTTTTTTAGACATCTTGCTAAATTGCTGATTTACTGAGTTTGGGTTGGAACTTGGAATCCTCTTGCCCCAGCCTCCAAGACTGCTGTGCTTGTCAGAAGCTGCTGAAGCTGCAAACTGATCACAAGTGTGGCGGCAAGGCAAGCCCTGCCTGATAACAAAGTTTCCAGAAGAAATCCACGTAAACAAGCTGCTTCAGTCCACAGAACACCAAGCCCTGAGACAATCCAAGCAATGGGTTGCTAGGCAAAGGGGCTGTCACGTGACACTAACCTGCCAAATGGGAAATAAATGGGCCACAGTGCTTGAGCTCTTTTCCTCCCATCCAGAGAGGGCTCCACCTGATCACAGCTTTCTGTGTCTTGTCTTCATTTCTTCACATTCTCACACCCTTCATGGTCCCCAGCCCGGGAAGTTTGAGAGCCGCTGACCACAGGAGTGCACACTCACGCTTACCTAGGATATTGATCTGAGGAGACCACAGGCCTTGTTCCAGGTTAACAGTTTTATATGCATTGATTTGCATCTTAGTTACTTTTCTTATTGCTGAGACAAAATACCTGACAGCCACAGTCAAAGGAGAGGTTTATGTCAGCTCACAGCTTGTAGAGGTTTTAGCCATACTGAAGGCAGGATGGCTTGGCAGAGGGGCACGGCAGAGAGAAACAGAGAAAAGTAGCCCATGGGGTGTCGAGGCAGGCAGAAGACGGCAAGGCAGTGAAGTGTCAAAGCAGCAGAAGCAGTCTGCATGTCCCTCTGACCCCTTTCCACCTGCCTGCCCCGTGGGTGGAGCCGCCACACCCTGAGCTTTCCCGTTATCCACACCCAGAACTATGCTAAAGCAATCCGTGCACTATTTAATAATTACCCACCCTTAACTCCAGAATCACATCCTGTCCTGTATTTCTCTGTATTTCTCCTCTTCATAGTGGTAATATTCCATGAACACAGACTTATAATTTTGATGAAATCTAATGAGTCCAATTTTCCTTTTTGTGGCTGTGCCTTTGGTATCAAGTCTAAGAATATAGATCCTGAATGTTTTATATAATTATTTTGTTTATATTTTACATTTCAGTCTGCGCTCCATCAGAAATTAATTTTTGTGTAAGTATGAGGTTTATGGCAAGGATCTTTTGTCAACAGTACTGGGAAATGAACCCAAGTACTTCACAATGAGCTACATCTTCAGCCCTTAATTATATTGAATTTTGAGAAAGGTCTCTTCAAGTCACTATTTGCCCAGGCTAGAGTTAAGTTTGAGAGCCTCCTGCCTGCCAGTGGGCTGGATTGCAGAAGTATGTCCTTTTGGTTTGTTTTTCATTTCTTTGTTTACGTGTTTGTTCTAGGGTCTCCCTATGCAGCTCAGGTTGGCTTCATTTGGCTGTTGTGTTTCCTGTTTTTTCTTTTTTTTTTTTTTTTTACATTTCTTTTTGTTTTCTTTCCAGAAGGGTCTGGTTATGCAGTTCAGGCTCACCTTGAGCTCACTTTGTAGCCCAGGCTGGTGTGGAAATTGCAATAGTTCTCTTTCCTCAGACTTCCCCGTGCTGGGATTGAACGCATGCAGTAGCACGCCCAGCTCCCACAGGGGCTTCACACTGAGGCAATTCTCCTGCCTCTGCCTCCCCAGTCCTGAGAATGCAGCCCACCACCTGGCTTCTTTTTTGGATTTTAATCGTGGTGTCCAACTGCTCTAGCAACAATTGCTGCAGAGGTAATCTCTCTCCCCAGCACTGCTCTCTCACTGTTTTCGAATCAGCAGGGTCTGTCTGCATGGTCTGGCTCTGGGTCCTCAGTCCGGCCTATTGACCTGTGCCTCTGGACTCCCTGTGTCTGTCCCACACTGACTTGATGATGGTAGTGAGCCTCCACACTGGGTAGAACAGTTCCTCCTATAATATTACTCTTTTTATAAACTATGTTCTGGGGAAGGGGGCTGTGAGATTTTCTGTGTTATTATTTATCTGCTAAGCAGAATGTCTTTTCCCTTTTTGAGACAAGGTCTTGCTATGTACTATGGGCTGTCCTTGAATGCACTGTGAAACACAGAGTGGCCTGGAACATGCAGAGATCCTCCTACCTCAGCTTCCTGAGTGTCTGGAATTACAGGTGGCAACTACCACGTCTACCACAGCTGATATATTTTTCCGTTATTTAGAGAGATCTTTCTGCTGTAATTTGAAGCTTAACATCTCTCTGCCTAAGATCTTTTCAGGGCAATATGTAAAGATTAGGATGAAACCCAAACAGTTTATGTCAATAGGTTGAGTACCTCTCCATCTACAGCCTGTTCAAGTCTCTTGCCAAAGGCACTCTATATGTTTCAGACACTGACATCTGACCCAGGTGACTTGCCTCAGGGCTCCGTGTTCTCCACACTAGAGCAGCTGACCCACGTGACTTGTGTCAAGGGCCCTATTGTCTTGAGACTAGAGGCAGCTTAGGAGAAAAACTAAAATGAAAATGACTTAGTTACTCTTTTCTTTGCTGAGACAAAATACCCAGTGTCCAAAGTTTAATGGAGAAAGGTTTATTTAGCTCACAGTTTGTAGAGGTCTCCTTTCATAGTTGGCTGGCTCCAACGCAGGCTGGCATATCAGATGGGCAATCGTTCATGATGGGCAAAGACAGGAAACAGCACAGGGCAGTGGATGGGAGTTAGCAGCATCTTTCTGTACCTTATATTTATACATACTTCAGGGGTGAGGGCGGTGCCAAACCAATCAGTGGTCTGACTAGTCACCACACACCCCTAATCCACATCATTCATTAGTTTCAGCCTTATGACGGCATGAGACTTGGAGGGTTATCTAGACACAAACTATAACAGCAAAAGTAGATGAAATGATCAGAGAAGCAGATACTGATGGAGACAGACAGGGCAACTACGAAAAATTCATGCAGATGGTGACTTCAAGATGAATGTCTACTGTCAACTACTTCCCCCGGCCTTAGAACTATCACACTGAATCTTTTACTTACCTCTTACACACAGAAATAGAAAACAAAAGGTTTACTTAAAGAAAAAAAGAACACATGTGTCATAAATTCACCCTCACTGGTCTAGGAGGTCTCCCTGTGCTACAGCACAGTCCTTGATTTGCTTTGGTGTTGCTGTAAATCTGCTTGTGATTTATTTCTCAGGTCATGTGGGCTCCAAAGTCCTATAACTCTACATGTGGTTTTTATCCTGAATAATGTGGACAGAGCAGTCATTTCAAGAGAGAGAACAATCAACACTCAGAGCTCCAGACTGTTTTGAGACAGGGCTTCACTCTCCGGTTCAGGCTGCCTTTGAACTCACTTGGAAGCCCAGGCTGCCCTCAAACTTCAGTGAGCCTCCTGCCTCAGCCTTCTGAGAGCTCGGACTACAGCCATTTGCTACCATGGCTGGCAGAGTTCCAGAGTGTTAACAGTTTAGAGTTCCAGAGACCAGCAGCTAGTGAACACCTGCAGGAGTCAACCTGTGGGCCCAGCACAAGCTTGCACAGCAAAGTGGTGGTCAGCAGAGGTAGAGAAACCAGCACCCAATAGAAGCAAACTGTGGTGCCAAGCACAAGCTGGCACCAGATGGTAGTGTCTGGCGGTGGCAGTGACGAATAGGCAATTGTGCCAACGATTGGCACCCAGCATGACCATTAGGACTACCAGCAGAGCTGCATTTTGTGGATTCACCATTTCCTTATGAATCAGGCAAAGAAGTCTAGACTGATTAGCAGTGAAATTGGTGGCATCACAGGCATGCTCAGCGTGTGGGTTACTGACGAGTAACCAAGTACAATGAGAACCAAGTTCTCATTGCCGAGACAAAATTCCTGACACACAAAATTAAAGAAGAAAAGTTTTTTTTTTTTCTTTTTGAGACAGGGTCTCGCTATGTACTTCAGACTGGCCTTGAGCTCACTCTGTAGCCCAGGCTGGTCTTCAACTCCCAAAGATCCTCCTCCCTCAGCCTCCCAAGTGCTGGGATTACAGGGGTGAGCCACCACGCCCTGCTTAAGAAAAGGTTTCTTTAGATCACATTTTGTAGAGGTTTCAGTCCATAATTGGATGGCTCCAAGGCAGGGTGGCCTGGCAGGAGGTTTGGAGACTGAGAGGCAGTTCATGGCAGGCAGAAGGCAGCAAAGCACTGACAGACCTCTTGCTGTCCCTTATATGTGTTTTCCAGGCTGCCTGGCCTAAGGTTGGGTTAGGGTTAGTGTCAGGGTTAGGGTTAGGGTTTGGTAGCACTCACACCCAGAGACGGTTTCCTCACTACTCACTCCTAGAACTGTCTAACCAAGCAGTGGACCCACGTGGTAACCACACACCTAAATCCCAGCAGCACGCCCTTGATCCCAGCATCACATATCCTAGACCCAACCACCTCTGAGCAGCCCCACCTAGGACCAGGTGACGCTATAGGCGCAGGCCTTAAGACACAGCCTTTCAGAAATGATGAAACTGGATGCCGTATTTGACAAATGTTAAGGAGAAGAAAAGGGGCAGTCAGCTGGAGGCAGCTGTCACCCTAAAGGCCAGCACTAGGGAGCCGTTAGTGTTGGAGTTCTTCATTCTCCTTCCTGTGCTGGTAAATGCAGTAGCGTACACAGGCAGTGCAGGTGTACAGATCTTAATACACGGACACATACAGACACACACAAAAATGAGTGCAAAACTGCAAAATGTACGTAAGGTTGTAAACTGTATGATCAGCCATATCCTGATCATCATAGTATAGTGCTGCAAAATGTTATCTATTGGAAAACTGGAGAAAGAATACAAGGGGACTTTCTATAGTATTATTATTATTATTATTATTATTATTATTATTATTGTCTCTTTGAGACAAAATCTAGCTATGCAGTTCTGGCTGGCCTTGAACTCACTTGGTAACCCAGGATGGTCTTGAACTTGCAATGATGCTCCTGACTCAGCCTCTCAACTGCTGGGATTAGAGGCTTGTGACACTACACCCGGCGCTTTGTTATTACAACTTCATGTGAATCTCTTTCAGATTATGAGTTTAAAAAAATTGAATTGTAGTCAGAAATAGTGCCTGGAAATATATAAATGAAAGGAATTTAGACAAACATTGATGATTGTTGAAACTGGCTGATGGATAGAAGTGGGGGTGTTTATTTGTTTGTTTGCTTTTTGGAGTTGTTGTGTTTTTTCACAGTGTCTCCTCTGTGTAGTCCAGGCTGGCCTTGAACTAACTTAGATATCATAGGTTGACCTTGAACTCATGGTAATCCTCCTGCCTCAACCTTTTGGGTGCTGGGATTACACAGAAGAATTTAAATAAAAATGAATATTAATATAATACAGAGGCCCAAGGGTTTAGATCTGTGACACAAATGCCTGCCTGGCAAGCTCAAGGTTATGAGTTTGATCACCAGTATAATTAATTAACTAAAATAATAAAGACCTTGAAGTAGCTTTGTCACTCTAATGATTAAATTATTGGGTCAATTTGACAAAGATTTCTCCAGCTAACTTGCATCAGTGTAGTTCTGAGTATAGCTGAGATCTATGAATAGCATAATACCCACCCTATGGAGCAGACCCACCCTAGGGAGGATCTTCACCTGAGAGGTATAAAAGGGCAACCCAGAAGCATGGCTCACCTCTGCTGCTTTGGAGGAGCTTCAGCCTTGAGCTTGACCTTGGCCATCACCTCCTGGCTCCCAGCACAGACTCTCCAGCCTCCTGATACCAACTCACACCAGGCCCCAAGCCATCGACTGCATCCATCGGATCTCCAGGGGATAGACTGACAGGCTCCACTGTTCCACACCTGACTCTGCAGGCAGCACCTGGGAAGGAGTGGGCTGTGCTGTTCAGACCCCCGGCTCCTCTTACTTCTGACCTCGTCACTGCACAGATCCAGCATGTTGGGTGGCATTGATGACAAGATCCGACAAGTCATGGTAAGAGGGGACACCTTGGTCCCATTATCAGAACCCTCACATTGCTGCCTGGCCTACTCTTCAGGAACACTAACTCTGTACCTTGGTGCTCCTGGGTCTCCTCCTCAGCCCTTGAGTGCCCTTGACCTCTGGTCCCCATCCCTGTATGTGAGCCCTGCCCGCCCCTCATCCTTGGCTCCTGCCCTCTGCCAGCCCTGCTTCCTCCCCCAAAGGCCCTCCTCCTTGGGCACAGGGACCTCACACAGCCGCAGCCTCCAGGCACTGGGCAGCGGATGTGGTTCAGGTGGCCTGGCTGCCCTGACACTTGGCCTGTTTGGTCCCCAGGATCTGGTAAAGTCTCACCTCATGTTTGCAGTCAGGGAGGAGGTGGAGATGCTGAAGAAGAGGATCCGGGACCTGGAAGAGCGCAATGCTGCCCTGGAGCAGGAGAACAGCCTGCTGCGCGCCCTGGCCAGCCCGGAGCAGCTGGCCCAGATGTCATCCTCGGGGCTCCCTTGCTTCAGATTCCCCCATACAGTGGACCTTTCACCCCCCAAGATGTGCATTTAGGGTCTGCCCCACCTGTCAGGCCTTGAGCCAGTGCCCTCTGCCTTCTTAGCCTGCAGCTTCAGTGCCCCTAAGCCCAGGGATTGGGAGGTCAGCAGTGGTCCCACTACCCCTCACCCTACCCTGCTCACCCCCAGTCCCTAGGCTTTGAAGAAGAAGGGAGGGCTCGCCATGGGAGGTGGATGGAGTCCCTTCCGGGGGTGACTGATGCCAGTCCCCCTCCCTCCTAGGCATCAGTCTTCTGGGGCCCATGGCACTGGGGCAGGGTAGGAGGCTTCCTGGCAGCCCCTCCCCCACCTGATTCTCCTGAAGTGTCCCTGGGCAGGCCAGAGGGAATATGGCCAGTATCTCAAAGTTCTGGCATTCTGGTTATTCTTAAAATAATAATTACTGTTTAAAAAGCTGTAGAAACCTGAATCTGGAGAGGGGCGTGGTATTGCCTGCATTCAAAGCTGCTGGGCTGGCCGCCCACTTCAGCCTCCCTGCCCTTGCTGGGTGGATTCAAGGTGCCAGCGATGGTGTGAGAGGCACAGCATGGCAAAGCCCACTGGAGAAATAAGCAAGACCTGTCAGTTGTCAGACCTGAGGATAGCACTCAGGAAATGGGCCGGTCCTGGTCAATCTTCAAGACACCAGGGTGCGGAAACCCAGGAATTGCTACACTCCTAGGACATCTGGAGGGCCCAGGACCCACAGAGCACCAGACACTGCTGTCCTGGGTCCTCGACATCCCTCCACTGTGTCTCCCAGACCCACCATGCACCTTTCTTGTAACTTTCTGTTCTTTTCTCCTCTCTAAGGGCTACCTTTGCTCTGCAGAGCTAGATCTTCCCTTACCTCTTCACCTCTCATTTTAAAATAAACTTTTGGCAGTATTTTTACCTTCTCTTGTCCAATTACTTGCTCCTGAATAGGACCTGATACACCTTTGCTTGGGGAGTCATTATTAAAGTAACTACCCCATGATAACAGAAACACAGTGGTAGCCAGAGATGCAGGAGTCGGCATCAGCAGTCTGGGTGCTGGAAAGAAGCAGGAAAGGTGGAGAGAGGGGTGGCATGGGCCCAGGTGCTGGGGGCAGAGAAACAATGAGGCCTTTGGCCAGGGTCAGGATCCACCCCCAGCTTCCCAGGGAGCCCCTCTGCTGGCAGGTTCTGGGTGGCTGCTGAGGGCGGGGTGGTGGTCCCAAATGGGCCCCTTGTCTCCAGGCTGGGTGTGAGGCAGGCTTCCTGGGCACATGGTGCCCTTGCCAGGCCTGGCTGGCCTCACTGGCTTCCACCCCAAGGGCTAAGGACTGTCCTGTGAGGGAGCAGGCTCCTCCCTGAAAACCTGGGCCTAGCCCAAGGCAGGCAAAGAGCAACCAGGGAAAAGCATCCCACCTAGAGGGCAAGTGGGAACCAGCAGCCTCAGCCTTCAGGGGACCCTGTGAGCAGCTGCAGTGGGACCTGTCCTGTTCCACAGAAGCCCAGCTAGCTGAGGCCCTTGGCTGTCCAGACCCTTGGATTTATAATCTGCAGCAAGTTCTCTGACTTCCTGAATCTCAGAATGGGACTCCATAAAAAATCACATGACAGCACAGGGAAAGCACCCAGCATGCACCTCGACCAGTGTCAGTTTCCTTCCTTAGATGTGGGCAAGAAGGGCCCAGGCCAGAGCAATAGGCTCCACAGTTCTACAAGGAGCTCTGGGTTTGTGATCAGGGACAGGACTCTTACAATGGGCTGGAACTGTCCTCAGCCAAGGTGTTCATTCTCTGGGACTCTCACCTGTGCATGGGACTCTGGGAGCATAGACATGGGACAAGGTGTTGGGGGCACCTCCCTTTACTGGTGTGTTGGAGAAACTCATCCAGAGCCATCCCTGTCTCTGGAGCCATAGCAGTGGTCAGAAGTTTATCAAAATTTCTTAAGTGCATTTGGAAAGATATGACCAGTTTGGTGGGAGTCATACACTGCCTGGGCCTCATGATGCTAAGATAAGAATCCGGATCATGACCATCAGAGTATCCCTCTCCTCCTGGTCCTAGTTCCCAAAAAAGACAAGGAAGGAAGGGAACAGGGGATAACAGATCTGGAGATCAAGTGTGGTGGCACAGGCCTATAAGTCCAGCTCTCTGGGAGACAGAGATAAGAGGATTACCAGTTCAAGCACAACCTGAGAAATATAGGGACTTGTTGAGACATTGCCTCAAACTTTTTTAAACAAATAGGGGCCAAGTACAAAGATCCTCAGTTCATTCCCCACTATTGTACAACAACAACAACAAAAAAGGGAAACAAGTGATAAACTGACCCTGGGAGGGGCTTTGGAGGAGGAGTGTGAGCAGTCACCACCCTCTCCCTTAACTACCTCCTCTGTCCCATCCCCCTCGCTGTCTTTCCTGTCTGTGTCCCCTTTCTTAGGTTATTGTCCGCAGACTCCAAATGAAGTGGATCATCAAGGAACATAAGAAAGAAGAACCATAGGTTGAAGGAGGTAGAGAAGATGCTTCCAGAGCTACAAGTGGCCAAGCCCCCAATTTCTGTGTGCTAGCCAGACCCACCGAATGGAGCTCAGCCACAAGGGATGCTCCCTGGTATGAGTGCCCCACACAGCCATCCAGTTAAAGACTGCTGGGATTACAGGTGAGAGCCACCTCACCCAGCAGGAATCTGTATTTTTAACAGACTCCGGGTCCTAGTCTCAAAATCCTGACAGTCCACATTCCCATTCAGTGTGGTAGTGACTCACCAATTTCAGCAGACCCGTAACAGGGCTTGCTAAAGCCTGCCCTGCAGTTTCTGAATCTGTAGGCCTGGGGCTATGGGCCTGAGGGTTGCTTTTCCACAGGTCTGGAGGCAGGAGATGCTCTTGATGCCTGGTCCCCAAATGCATTCAGATCCACTTCTTCATTAACACCTTCAGAAAGGACCTATTCCCGTGTGCACCCACTCACCGGGTAGCAGGCACGGAGCAAGGCCTTGACCTTCACACAGCTGTGTGAAACAAATGCTCGCTCTGCTCTGCTCTGCACACGAGGAAGCGAGATTCACACAGGCGAATTCACTTTCTCAAGGTCCCAGAGCCAGCAAGGGCAGGACTTACACCAGGTCTTTCTGAGCCCAAGGTGGGCTGGCTCCCCTTCCTGTCACAGCCCCTGACTGGGGGAACCATGGTTGTTTTACCATTGTTCTTTAAAGGCCACCCTGCAGCTGCGTGATGAGTCTGCAGTCAGACACTAACTTTCCACCTCAATAATCATGCACCGAATCTAGGCCCACAACGCTGGGAACCTAACCACTGCTGTGTCTTGAAGAACAGCTTGTCTTCCCAATCCCGACAGGATGCCCGTTTCACACCCCTCAAATGCAAACATGTGTCTTTTATTCTGAGCCCCTTGACCACCCACATTAGTCAATCTTGACAGCTCTATCCATGGATTTTACCAAGAGGACGCTTTCTAGCAACACCAGGAGCTCTGCACCCTGTGGGACACATGCGAGCAGCCTTCAGGCAGCAGCTGGCTGTCCTTGGCACTGAGCTGGACAGTGGCACCACCGTGACCTGAGGAGAATGCCCCGGGATGACATTTCCGGAGCCTTCCTCCTGCTGAAATCAAACATAAAAGTTTTAGGCTTCGCCCTGATGGCGCCATCTTCTCTGGGGCTCGAAGCTCCTTTCCAGCAGTGAAATCAATAAACCAAACTTTTCCAGCATCCTGGACTAACTGGTGAATTCTTTTGACCACATTGGCACCAGCCTCTCACACACCTGCCTGTCATGGTACTTGGTCATCGTGTCTCCAGGTGCCAATGGAGCATTCTCGAAGGCCTGCTGAGATACAGGTCAGGACCTAAAGACTCCTCCCACAGTGGCCCAGGTTCAGGAGAATTTTCCAGGTGCCGTGTTCTTGATTCTCAGTTCTTGGCCCAGAGAGCTCCAGGAGGCAGGGAAGTGATGGCTCCAAGGGTCCTGAGGCCCTTTGTTGTTTGTGTGTGTATGTGTGTGTGTTTGAGACAGGGTCTTTCTATGCCATTGAGCTCACTTTGTAGACTGGTCTTGAACTCACAACAATCCTCCTGCCTCAACCTCCTGAGTGCTGGGATTACAGGTGTGAGCCACCATGCCCAGTTCGGCCCTTGCTCTTTATGAAGGATGATACAGGTGCAGCTGCGGCAGGAAAGGTCACAGCACAGCCCCATGGTTGAGGCCAAGGAGTGGATTCCTGTCACCTTGGTGCTGAAGGCCTTAAAGATGGAGTTCCTCAAGGAGATCTAGCTCTTCTCCCTACTTGTCCAGAAGTCACACTTGACATATTTCCCAGGGTGCATCTCTCAAGCTTAAAGCTCTGAAGATGCTGCTAGCACAGAAACCTCTGGAGCCGAACAGTGGCCCAGATTGAAGACATTTGTCACCCTCCAGACCCAGTCATGATGGTCTGGGTGCCCAAAGAGGGAGCCACCACCATCTGAGAGTCCCCTATGCTGGCCAAGCCCTCCATGGTCCTTGTGCAGAGAAGCCACAGAAGAAGAAGCTTGTCCAGCACCACTGAAGCTCTGGCATCCTCTCAGCCCCTGTGCCCAAGAAGCTGCTGGTGATGGCAGTGTGGCAGATGGTGGTGCCTCTGCCTGGCTTGCACTGCCACTCTGGGCAGCTTTGCCAACGCCACCATGAGGTTGTGTGCAAGGCTATGGCGACCTGACTCCCGACCTCTGGAAAGGGACCATTTCTACCAATTCATTGACCATGTTGTGAAAACCCCCACCAGGGTCTCTGATCTCTATCGGGATGATTCAAGCTCCAGTAGTGGCTCCACCAGAGTTTTTGTACAAGAAAAATAATATGAATGAAACCAAAAAATAAAAAGCCTTTGGAGCCAGGTATGTATGGTGCCACGAGCCTGTAATTCCAGAATGCTAGAAGGCTGAAGCAGGAGCACCTCCAAATCAACACCAGCCTGGGAATCTTGACAACTTTGTCTCAAAATAAAAAATAAAATATAGATGGATGTGTAGCTCAGATGGAAGGACCTCCATTCCATTCCTGTAAAACACACACACACACACACACACAGGGCCTTAGGGAAGCGAGGTCCCTTGACCTTTCAAATTGGCTCCAGGAAGAGTTTCCAACCCAGAAGGAGAAAGGTGCAGGCTCTGTGGGAAGGGCAGGAGAGCAGCAGACCCCAGGGTCCTGGGCTCAGAAGAGAAAGGTAGGCTGCAGGTGTCCCCAGGCACCTGTCAGTGCTGCCCAGGAGGTCTCCTGTGTGACCTCCTGGGGCAGGGGCATGGATGTTGGGCCAGGCTGCAGGCCTGGTGGAGGGGTGTGCAGCACCTGGAGAGGGCCCTTGGAAGAGGGAGAGTGTGGTGAGGAGAAAAAGTGAGCAGATGGGGGCTGGGGATTTAGTTCAGCGGCATAAGCGCCTGCCTTGCAAGCAGGCGGTTGTGAGTTTGATCCCTGGTACGGATAAAAACTGAAAAAGACAAAAAAAAAGTGAGCAGAGGGAGCCCCAAGGGTGGCTGATCCTGGTCTCCTTTGCTCCACAGATGCCTGCCCAGACTTGGGTTTTTCCCTGGGACCCAACTCCCTCCCTGGTATGAGTCTGAGACAAGGACCGCAGCCCCTCAAGACAGTGCTATTCCCCAGTCTTTTCCTTGTGGTAGCTGCTCTGTGCACCTCCCTTCAGTTTATGAGGTTTTGTTTTGGTTTTATTTCATTTTTCAGTATTGTGGATTAAAAACAGGCCTTTCTGAATGAGTTACATCTCCAGCCATTTTTTGTATTTTTATTTTGAGACAGGGTCTCCCAAAATCTACTTGAGCTTTCCTTGGTTCAAATCTGCAACCCTCCTGCCTCAGCCACCTAGACTGCCAGGATTACAGGCATGATCACCCCACCCAGTTTGGCTCTGGGATCTTCACAGTCCAGGGGTTGTGGAGAAAGGGGACAGTTTAAGGTTCAACCTGCAACCTGCTCCTCTTCTGTATGTACATCCCCCAAGCCTCAGCCTTCCTGCAGCAGGACACCAATATGCCACTCACCATGAAGGTGCTGCCACTCACCTCCAAAGTGCTGTTGCCATTCCTGCCTATGTTCCCTCAGAGAGCACAGTGAAGACTCAACAGAGGAGGTTAATACTGAGGAGGGGAGCACACTGCACAGCCCCAACACTATCGCCTTACTGCTGCCCAGATGTCAGGAGTCACCCCAGCATGGCTGTCTACTAATGCCACGTGCCAGGATAGGGCAAAACCAGAGTGCCGTCAGCCTTCACAAGACAACTATCAAGAGATGGATGTCCCATGTTGAGTAGAGGGTGACCACAGATTTATCTGACACAGATTCCATGCAGAGGTGAGTGGGCAGGAGCTGAAGCTGGAGATTGATCATATGCAGGGCTGGAGCAAACCCAACCTCAAAAACACAGCACCTGAGGCAACTCACATGTATAAAACTGCTCTAATCTCAAGAACACTAGGTGCCTGTGAGTAGCCTCACGGATAAACTCTTAGGCAGAGAGGATTCTCATGATACTCAGACTCGCAAGTGTATAAATAAATGCACTGCAGCTCTCGCTCCTCCCCCTCCTCCACCTTCCTCCCCTCCTTCCTTCATTCCTTCCTTCCTTCCAAGTAGGAGAGAGGGCTGCAGCCTCAGTTCTCTGTATTCCAACTCTTGTCCTCTTTTCTGCATCCCCTAACTGTCCTCACCCTCGGAACACTGAGAAACTGCATCAGACACAGTAACTGGTCCCTGGACAGGGAGCCAGGAAATGAGGAAATGCATTGGAGATCAGGTAAGGGGAGACCTCTAGCTGTGCACACACAAAGAGAAAAACAGGCTGAAGAGAAGCCCAAGAGAGAAATAGGCCAGAGAAGTCAAACAGAGAGAGGTGTATTGAGTTATCAGATGTTAAGCACGAGGCAAGTTGGATCTCAGGAAAAACAAATGTATGTACAAATCTTTGTTCTATTATGGATTCCCATACTTTTCTTCTGTGGACCTGCATCAGGGAGTGTCTCAATGTTTGTGTACCTCTTGAGACAACCACAGGGGATTCTGCTTGGAGCACTATCTTTAAAACCAATCCCAAGCAGGGGCTGGGGATTTAGCTCAGCGACATAAGCAATCTGCCTTGCAAGCAGGCAGTCGTGAGTTTGATCCCTGGTACCGATTTAAAAAAAAAAAAAAAACCAGTCCCAAGCAAAAAAGGCACAATAAAACAACAGCCCCACTGGTAGAGCTTGAACCCTCTAGCTTTGCTCAATCAGATAGGAAAGGAATGATGGGGGGCAAAAAGACCTTTCCCCACTAGAGAAGTGTTTCACTGTGGCTTCAGTTTCACAGATGCTAAGGCAAAACCAGTAACACTAACTGTACCAGAAGTGGCAGCTTCTGCCTCTTTAACTCAGAGAAACCTTGCTGCATCACAGGCCAAAACTTCCACCTCTCAGGCAGTAGTATCATCTTTTTCTCCCTTGCAATTCGTGTTAAAAGAAGCCATTTGAGAAACCAGGCATGGTAGCTTACTCCTGTAAGCCCAGCATTTGGGAAGCTGAGGCAGGAGGATCATTGGGAGTTCAAGACCAGCCTGGGCTACAAAGTGAGCTCAAGGCCAGCCTGAACTGCATAGCGAGACCCTGTCTCAAAAAGACAAAAAAAAGAAGGGGAGTCCATGGAAGGATTTCAACAAGTCTACCCTGTTGCTGAGCTCCAGATCCCTCATAAACCAGGACAAGCCACACATCATCATGAAGCCATACATTTTAAGACCCCTCAAAAAAATTAACACAAGTTACAGTTACGTATGGTGCCATGGCCCTTTTTATCTTAGGTTTAATAGAATTTGTAAGACAAGTTATGACCCCAAATGGTTGGAAAGGAATAGCTAAAGCATGTTTTGGTCTAGGGGGTTATTTATTGTAGAAGAAAACTTTTATCAAATTGTGCATGAATCAGGCTGTTTGCAGTGCAACTCACAACATAGCCTTTACAGTAAACTGGAGAGGGTGCCTTTGTTGATACAAACAATCAAATTACTTTTAAGCTACAAGTATATAAACAAATCAAAATAGCTGCAATAAAGGCTCAAAGGGAATGGCCTTCAAAGGGTGACCTTGATCTGACCTCCATCTGCCTGAGTTCTGATGAAACTTTTCAGGATTTTGTGACATGCCTATTGCAGGCCTGTGAGAGGACAATCAATAATTCAGAGGCTAACTCATTTTTCAACAATTGGCCTTTTCAAATGCAAAAAAAAAATGGTGTAAAGAGGTGTACGCTGTCAGATGATTTGGATTTGTGCAGACCTTGGTCCCTGGACACACAAGGAGCTGCCTTGGCAGCAATCATCACTCAGGCTACTCATCCACAGCCTAGAGGAAAAGGAAGGAACAAGGTTACCTGTTTCCGCTGTGGATGTTGGGGACACTTTGCCAGAAGTTGCTCTGCTGCACTGGTAAAGGCAGTATTAGTCATTATTTGTTCCTTCAACAAAACCTTCTAGTATGTGTACAAAGTATAGACGAGGTGTCATTGGGAAAATGAGTGTAGATCCAAAACTGATGTGCAAGGCTAACCCGTTCTAGGAAACTTCCAGAAACTGCCTGCCCCAGCCCCACCAAACCGTAGGAGCACTCTCCCCAGTTCCTCACCAGCCCTACCCTCTGCCACCACGCAAGTTTCTGATCTCCAGCCAGCCACAAAAGACAGCAGGGGATTGGACCTCAGTCCCTCCCCCAGATTTATACTAACTCCTAAAATGTGACCCTAGGGTATTCATACTGGATTCTATGGACCTTTGCCTTGGAGAAGAGTGGGACTCCTGCTAGGCTGCAGCAGTCTCATTTTAAAAGGCCTCTAGGGCTGGGGATTTAGCTCAGTGGCATTAAGTGCTAGTCAAGCAGGTACAAGGTTGTGAGTTCGATCCCCGGTACAAAAAAACCCTACATTATAGGGGGTTGGAGATTTAGCTCATCCCTGGTGCATGGTGGGAGGCTGAGATAGGAGGATCGTGGAGAGTTTGAGACCAGCCTGGGCTACAAAATGAGCTCAAGGCCAACCTGAACTGCATAGGGAGACTCAAAAGACAAAAAGACAAAAAATTTTTTTAATTTAAAAAAAATAAAAGGTCTCTAAGTTTTGCCTGGTGTCATTGACACTGATTATACAGAAAATATCAAAGTTATGTCTCAGACTACACTGTTCAAGGCACTCCAGACTCTTGTATTGCCCAATTGGTATTCTTCCTTTGACAAAAATTGGAAAATCTATAAAAAGTAAAGAGGATTCAAGAGTTTCTGGTCTTCAGAATCTTATTCAGTCTAACAGATTAAACAGGATCATCACAAGAAAAAACTGATTATTGAGGGAAAAACATTCAAAGGGCTTTGAGACACAGGTACAGATGGTTGTTATTGCCCAATGCCGTTGGCCCATAGCATGGGCCCTGGATGTAGCACCCTCAGATCTGCAGGGGGTGGGTGGTGTTTCTCACCCTCATACAAGTGTTAAATTGTTAACTCAGAGGGATGCAGGACATTCTGGACATTTATCACCTTCTGTCCTCCCCTATAAACCAGTCAATCTAAGGGGTCATGACAATATTACCAGATATGGAATCACATATGGCAAGTCCTTACTCTTTGATAACACATCAGATGTTACAACAAAGCTTCCTTCCCACTCAAGGGCTTGGTAAACTCAATCAAGGAAGGAGAGACTCTCTTCCAGATATAGATACAGATATAGATTTAGATATATATAGATATCTCCCTGTATAGGCTACTCACTTTCACATTTTCAGGAGAGGCCTTGATCTCTTCTCTGACCCCATAGACAACATCCACAATAACTTGGATATCTGATGAACCTGTATGGACTGATAAATGGTGCCTCACTCAGGAGAAGCTTATAGCAGCTCATACATTCATTAATGAACAGATGATGGCAGGACACCTAGAATCCTCCACTAGCTCCTGGATAATAAAAAAGAAGTTAGAAGTCAGGATGGTGGAGGGCATTACAGGATTTGCAGGCTGTTAATCAAACCATGGAACCTATAGGAATACTTCAACCAGGACTGCCCAATCTCTTAGCTGTTCCTTTGCATTTTTCCCTCATGGTGATTGATTCAAAAGACTGCTTTTTTACAATCCCTCTCCATCCAAAAAACATAAAAACTCCAAACAACACTTTGTCTTTACTTTAGCCTCCATTACCATCAGGCCCCTATGCACCGTTTCTATGGCACTGTCTGCCACAAGGAATGGCAGATACTCCAACTCTACGTCAAGACTTTGTGGCTGCGGCCATTTCATTAGTCTCTCAAGCTCATCCATCTGCTTACCTTATTCATTATATGGATGCTATTTTTCTAGCTCATGAATCCTCAATCCACCTTGCACCCCCTGTGGGGGTTAACCCCTGAGCTAAATGATGACACAGGACATGAGGGAACGTTTTCATAAAAAACAAAAATTTATTAACACAGATCACACCTTAATTTGGTATTGAACACCCAGCAGAAAATTATAACCATAAGAAGTATAAAACAATTGCCAACTACACTAGTAATTGATCACTGGGGGCTGGGGGTTTAGCTCAGTGGCATAAGCACCTGCCTTGTAAGCAGGCGGTCGTGAGTTCGATCCCCGGTACCGATAAAAAGGAAAAAGACAAAAAAAAAAAAAAAAAAAAACCAAGTAATTGATCACTGTTTCAGGATAATGTGATGTATAGGATTAAATTGCTAAATACAGAGATTTAAAGTCTTAGACTGGGAATATTTAACCCAAATCAAACAAGTTCATCTAGAATGGAAAAGATCTGAGGAGAAGATCTGCTACAGAGTCCCCCAAACACAGCTCCTTCAACCTCAAGTTACTACCCATCACTTATAACTATAAAACAGAAATGGAGGAGATGTGGGGAGCAGCTGAAGCTGGAGACCAATCACATGTAGAGCTGGAGCAAGGCCAGCCTCAAGAACACAGAGCTCCTGAGGCAAGTCACATGGGTAAGCTGCTCTAAGCTCAAGAACACTGGGCACCTGAGACAAGCCATGTGGATAATCTCTTAGATGGAGAGGTTTCACCTGACAACTCCCAAGTGTATAAATAAATGCACTGCAGCCATTCCTTTGCTTCTTCTCCTTCTCCTCCTCCTCCTTCTTCCTTGCTTATTTCCAATCAGGAGAGAGGGCTCCATCTGGTCTGTTTTCTGTATTCTGACTCTTGTTTTTTTTTTTCTCCGTCCTCTAACTGTCCCCATCCTGGGAACATCAAGAGCTGTGTGGGATGTGGCAGAGGTGGATCCACACAGCTGGTTATGGGAACACACTGAAGAGATCTTGATACCCTGGGGTCTGAGACCCTCTTCTCTCAATCAGAGGACTGGGGACGCTGCTGCAGAGGTTGGTCCAAAACCATAGCCAGCAACCTTCCTGGGTCCATTGTCTGGGCTGCTTTTTTACTGAGCTCAAGCTATAGCCAACTTTTCTACATGTACATGCAGTTTCCCTTCATAAGCTTCATCCCTTGCAAATCCTGTGCCGCTTACTTTACTCTTCTGGTAAAATTTCATCATTCAAAATTCTTTCTTCCTATCTTCCTTCCCCCCACTCTTTTTTTTTTTCTTTTTTTGAGACAAGGTCTCACTTTGTAGAGCAGGCTAACTTTGAATTCACTATGTATCCCAGGCTGGCCTTGAACTTTTGGCAACTCTCCTGCCTCAGCCTCTGAGTGGTGGGATTATAGGCATGTACCACCACATGCAGCCTCAAAATTCCTTCTTATATGAATATATTATCCCTTTATAGCCATGTTTCCTTGCATCTCACTCATTTAATTCTCTAAACCTATAGTGGGCATCTCTTTCTATAGCTTTATCATCAAAACAAAATCCATTTCCTTCCATATCCTCCATTATCAACAGAAGAGCCAATGGCAACAACTGGCCTCTGGTCATCTAATGACATCCATTTGTCATTAAGACATCTTGACCCTACTTAGCAATCAGTACTTCCAAAGAAAACTTAGTGGCTTTCCTCATCAGGAGAAAATTGTAGTCACAACTCTCAGACAAACAAAATATCCTATTGTCACTGTATATAAATAAGTACCAGGAGACAGAGGGTTCCAACCAAGAGACATCTCTCAGTGTTTGGGTTAAGGGCTTCTGTTGCTACCTGATGATGTGACAAAGAGAGACAAAGGTAACAGTAAGAGTTTCCCAGGTCAGACAAACTCAGGCATCTCGGGCACAGCCAATCATTTCCAAAAAAGGCCTCAAAGTGTCTTGGTGTACACTTGCAACTTATGTGCTCACATATATTTAGGTAACGGGGGCTCAAAGTAAGGCCTACAGAACTTGGTGAACAACATATTACGTAGACTATGTAAACTGAACAAACAAAACATTCCTAGACAGGATTTTGGTTTTTAAAAAAATGTCCTGGTATCCATAACAAGACTGATATTTTTCTTTAGCTGCCAAGCCAATGGTTACCCAAGACCTTGCAGACTGACAGAGATGTCTTCCAATTTTGATGGAAGGGATTCTGAGTTACCCTGAGGTGGCAGTTGAATTAAAGCAGCCAAAAGTTGCATCTTTTGTCTAATCTCTTATCTGTCTTTGCTCCCTCTGCCTAGTTCCAGTTATTGGAGACACTGAACAGGCACCTTCCCCTTCCAAAACTTACTTGGCAAGAAACCAGTGTGCATATTTGCGCCTAGGATCAAACAGATTCTCCGGAAAGGGAGACCCTGGACTGAGGCAGTACAAAGTCTTCCGGGCTCCACCACGTTCAGAGCCATTAATCGTGGCTTAATGTGTCTGGAGTTGTTTCTGCATCTTCTAATCTGTTCCATTGATCTTTGGGTCTGTTTTTTTTTTTTTCCAAGTACCACACTGTTTTTATCATAGTAGCTTTATTATAGTACAATTTCAAGTCAGGGATTGTGATGCCTCCTGTTTTGTCTTTGTTGCCCAGGATTGCCTTTGATATTCTAAGTCTCTTTTAGTTCCAGATGAATTTTAGGATTGTTTTCTCTAATTCTATGAGATATGCTATTGGAATTTTGATTGGGATCACATTGAACTGCCTCAAGTTTTCATAACTTCCTCCACATATATGGATCAGAGTGCAGCATAAAATCCATTGCTATCAAAGCTTTCCCTTCTAATCCCAGGACTTGGGAGACGGAGGCAGGAAAATCACTGCAAGTTTGAGACTACAAAGTGAGTCAAGACCAGCCTGAACTGCAAAGTGAGACCCTATCTCAAAAGACCAGAAAAAAAAAGGCTGTCCCTCCTGCTGACCCGGCATCAGTGTGAGTATATTTCAGAAGGCGTCTGACAGGAGATCTGAAAAGAAGCAGGATTCTCTTCGAGTTACCACTTTAACCTGATCATAATAGATAGGCTTAACCAGACACTGCCCCATTTCTTCCAAGATACAAGTTACAAAATTTTCCATTCTCTTATGAATAGAATTTTCACCATACCATTTGGGGTCTGCACAGGAACTTCTTCCTCTGCAGCCCTCTGAACATCATGGTCTGGAGTTAAGGCCAATGTATCAGCTACTTTAGTAGTAAAAACACATTCTTTCCCATCAGGAGTGCAGCAATGGTTAATTCCATAATCAAGTCTCTCCACGCTAGAACAAAAGTTGCAATCAGTTTAATGAATTCATGCCTAAACTTATCAAAATTCTTGAAAAACTGCCAAAACTTTCTTTACACTGAGTCATGTCTGTTGCAGAGAAGGGAACATGTACCCTGATAATGCTTCCATCTCCACCTAACATTTCATAATGGAAACAGATTCCAGAAGAATCTGTTTGTTTCCTGATCTCAGTTCTGAGATCTTGATGGGGCAAGTGGTGGAGAGGGCCGAGATAAAGATGCCTTGATCCTGGTTGGGGATAAAGCTGGGGGATTTAGAAACCACAGCCATACAAATAGTTTCATAAACACCTGGATGTAAGGGATATCTTGACACTTCCCTTCCCCTTTACAGAATAGACCTAGCTAGAGAACCGTATTATAATTCAGCGACTCAGTCTTTGGGTCATATAATTGGTTTCCCAACTTACACTGAGGCCAAGTTGTGTTATATGAGATCAGCCTCTTTTTTCTTTAAATCACCCTCCTTCAATTTGCCCCAGTTAGCCAAGAGGTATCCTACCGGCAAGTTCTTTGGAATACTGTGCGGTTTTCCTATTTGGTGGGCAACTTTAACAGGCAAATTTTGAACTTAGTACTTTATGGCTACAACCTGGGATAAGAGATCTGCGCTAACCAAAATATCACAGCTCTTCCATAGAACACACCCTCAGTATTTCTAAAAAAAAAAAAAAAAAAAAAAAACAACAACACTAGGGAACAGGGATATAGCTCAGCAGCAGAGTGCCTGTATGTCAGGCACGAGATTGTGAGTTCAGTCCCTGGTACCAAAAAAATAAATAAATAAAGATAAAAATAACAGCACTAGGCAGACTCACAAGAAAAACAATCATGACAGACTATATTGCAGCAAATAGTGTAACAAAAATATAAGGACTAGTATTTTCTCAGACAAGTACACAGTCCAAAAGTAAGCCACAAATTACTTGCACAGATTGGAGTCCAGCAGAGAGGAGACAAGGGTAAACATCAAGAAAGTCTATGGAGGGGCTGGGGATTTAACTCAGCGGCATAAGAGCCTGCCTTGCAAGCAAGCAGTCGTGAGTTAGATCCCTGGTACCGATAAAAAGGAAAAAGACAAAAAAAAAAAAAAAAAAAAGAAAAGAAAAAGAAAAAGAAAAAGAAAAAAGGAAGTCTATGGAACACAGATCCCCTATTCAGACCACACCTTGCAACAGGAAAAGACTCAAGAATTCCCAGAATCAATAGCCCAAAAATCTTTAATCTTGGTTACTATTAATACTAGGTATGCAAATAAGGGGCCCAGATTCCTCCATTCCTCATCTTAGCCAGGCCAGAATGCCCCCTCCCTTCTTCAAAAAGGTAACAGTACCATCTGAGGTGGCAAGCGTGGAGCAACGGTACCATACTGACTGGTTGCACTCAAGCTGGAGGGAGAATGGCAATGGTGGTAATAGCTAGGGAGGAGACTGAAGCAAGTTGTCCCAGTTCACAGGGGTTGGGGAGCAAAGGGAGATAAGGAGGTGGGCACTGGCTGCAGGCCAAGCCACATCCCCTCCAGCAGGTATATGGAAAAATGAAAGAGGCACTTTGTTGTCTCTGGATGGGACCAAACAGAAGGCCTCAGGCTCATACAAGTCTCATCCGGTTCCCAGTTGAACAAAAAATGTTGCATCCTGCAGACAAGCAACACTACTCTGTTATCCAAACATTCCACTGGGGTCATAAACTCAGCCCCAATAAAAACTTAGAGGGGCAAAGTTTAAGGAAAGGAAGACTATATGTAAAGAGGAAAAGGAAGGGACAGGAGAGGAGAGCTAGCTACCCCTTTCTCCACACCTGGAACTTGCCATAACTAGATTGGCTTCTAGGAACTTCTGCCTAATATCCTCTCTGCTAGTAATCTATGTGCAGCTTCTTTCCGTTTACTTGTCCTTGACCTACCTTTCAATCCCCTATCTTTGGAAGATGATTACTTGGCAAGGGAGTACCTTATTCAATGGTTACTTTAGAGTGAGCAAGGGAGTATAAGGATATCTGTTGTACTATATATGTATATGAATATATGTGTATATCATATAATATGCTCAGGTGTGAGTACATACTGCCTTAAAGTTAGCCCCTTCTCTTTGCTTCCCTTATATTTTATTGGAGGTAGAGGTGGAGGTGGGTTATTATCTGTGCATTTGGCTTTCTGTGTCCTGTCAGCTCTTCTCTGCTCTCTTGATACAACTCCCAGAGCCATTCAGTGCCTGTATCTGGTTTTCCTCTCTTTGTCTACCCTATTCCTTGGCCTATTTCCCACAGTTAGGATTAGTTAGAAAACTTAATGAGATTCATATTCTATTGTGACCCTATGAAGGTCTACTACTGAGCTATTTCCCCAAATTACTATATTTTTAAATCATTTCAAACGAAACTCATTTGAATAGTATTCAGCAACCAGATACATATTTATGTTAACTTTCAGTTTTTAAGGTTTTAAGAAAAGGTTTTCCTGAATTGCCCTGGCTGGGTTCGAGATTGCAATTCTCCTACCTCAGCCTCCCAGAATATTAGGATTACTAGTGTGCACCAGGATGGCCAGCTGACAATTAAACCTTATTCCTGACTTTATTAGGAAAATATTTATCTTTCACCACGAGGATTTTCCCTTCAAACTTTTTTTTTCTTAATATGGGCTATGGTATTCCTTCTGTTTGATTTTCTACAGCACATCTACTGCGAAGTGGTGCACAAACATGTCCTGGACCTCAACTACTAGTTAGCACCATAAAGGGAGATTCAGAACCGAGGGAACCTGCGCCAAGAGACATAGGGATCTGATGGGAGCTCCCACTTTCTACCCTGCGATCCAGGGACCTTCTATCTGGAGTTCAGGGAAAGGATAAACCGAGGCTTAAAAAAAAAAATACTGTACCCAGCACACACTATCTATATTCATACCGATTAATATTACAGGAAACTCGAAAATGCAAAAAGAAGTCGCAAAGTCTGCAAGAATGGATGACGGCCAGGAGGGAATCCCAGCTGGGGTCAGTAAGCAGCCTCCGCTCCTAAGCAGAAGCCGCAGCAGCAGTAGAAATCCAGGGGCATGCTGTAATGCCACGAAGCCGGAAGTCAGATGGAGGTAGACTTGGCCTTTTAGTTGAGGCCGTTCCGTGGGGAGCCGCACTGCGGGGAAAAACACACCTCACCGCAGCGTACATGTGGAAAGATTCAAACAGGCCCGGAAGCCGGAGCGGGGTTTTGAAAGGAGAAATGGTCCTAGTGAGGACCCGTAGGACCTCTACGGGGTCCCGTAGTAACACTTAGCAGCACAGGCGGTGCTAGATTTCACAGAAGCCAGCGCGAGTCTAGGGGCTGAACAGGAAATGACGTTATAGTGGCGTTTCCCCCCCCCCCCACTTTTGGGTAAGGCTAAAGGTTTCCTTTAGCTGTGCCAGGAGGTGGCGGCGAGTCTGAAGTCTGGAACCCTTAGCCGACCGGCCACCCTCTACCAACCCCGAGACGATGGGCTGTTGGGAGCCAGAGCTGAAGTCCATGGAAAGGATAAAAAGCCGTGGCGGTCTCAGGGACACCCCTGGAAATCCCAGCTCCGGAGTCTCGAGCCCCGTTCAGCTGGACCAGAGCCAAAACCCGTGATCCGAGAGCCTCGAGCGGCGGGGAAGGCAGATTTTGTTAGTGTATAGCTGAGTTGGAACCCAGGGCTTTCATGCTCGGCTACATCTCCAACTCTTTTCTGTTTTTCATTTTGAGACAGAATCTCGCTAAGTTGCTCAGAATGGGCTAAAACTTGGCTCAACCTTGCGGAGTGCTGGGATAACGGCTGTGCATTCTGCTTCCAGCTTAGACTCAGACTCAGGAATGAAGTCTTGAATTTAGTGGGTCTGTAGAGAAGCCGTACAACAGTAGAAACATAGGTAAAGCATGCAAACAGTAAAGGACAGCAGGCGCCTCCTAAACTAGGAGAGGGGACAAAAGCCACATGGTGACACAGCCCTCCCTGCGCCCAGCGCGGAGAGCTGCCTGCTCACAGCCACATCTGTGCCGACTGGGGCTAGTGGGCCGCTGTCACACCCACGCTGGGCCAGGCTGGGTCAGGCTCAGACTCCTGTTCTGATCCTGAAGCCAACTAACCCCTCCCCACCCACCTGTCTGCAGCCCCTGCCCCTAAGGAGGCCCAGAGGACTCGGGGACGAGAAGTCAGGGCAGGCAAGCCAGGCTTTCTGCAGGGATACAGATGAGCCAGATGCAGGGGAGTACCAAGAAGGAGGACATCCAGGCCTGCTGCCTTCCGACCCCACCCCCCACCCCGGCATGGGAGTTCTGAAGGCTTTCCTGGAGGAGTCAGGTGGCTCCAGGGAGAGGCAGACAGATAGTACTGGCAGATGGCACTCCCATGACCAGAGCACAAAGGACCCAGCACGGGGCCACCAGAGGCCCTTGCCCCCAGGATGAAGACCCTTTTGGAAAGCTCTAGACCTCTGAGCCCACCCAACTGCCCCTCCCCCAAGACCTTGTAGCCTAAGGCCGGCCCTATGCAGGGGCGGTGCCCATGAAGGCAGCTGCTCACCCCGGACCCTCGCAGCAGTCCTACACTTGCCTTGTATGACAGGTGACTTGTTCATGCGTTGCCTACTGGATAGAGTGCCAGCTCTGGCATTCATCTCAATCCTGGCATTCCTGAGAGGAAAATGGAAACGAGCTAAAATATTAAAAAACAAGCCAGGCGCGGTGGCACATGCCTATAATCCCAGCACTGGGGGACGCTGAGGCAGGAGAACTGCAAGTTCCAGTTTCTCCTAGGCAGTTTAGCTCACTCTGTCTCAAAAAAAAAATAAAGAAAAAAATAGGGTAGGGGGTTGGGATTATACCTCAGTGGTAGCGCGCCACCTAGCCTCCAGCCCCAGTAACGCACAATAAATAAAATAAAATTTAGACATAGAAGGCTCAAAGACACACCAGCCCATGCATCCCAGTGCAACCAGCTAGGTCCCTCTCCTGTCTTAAGTGCCTTCAAGTGACCCTGAGACCAATTTTACTAAAAAAGTGCTTACCTAGGAAGGTAGAGTCCCTGCGTGATCCCAGTGATTTGAGGATGAAATCTTGGGGTGGGAGGAACATATGGGATTTCCCTTCCTTTTATGCTGACCTTCTGTCAGCTGTTGAAGAGTCTTGGAATTTATCCAGTGAGGTGACATCCTTCCATAAGGCATCAACTTCTGTATAGAAGAGGAAATCGTTAGTGCAGAAAAGGGGGTCCATAAAGCACTTCAAATGGACAGGCCCAGAATTTGAGGTGTTTATTTCTTACTTTGATAAGAACTAAAGGTAGTAAGTAAGGCCACTGTAGGTGGGTCTCCTGAGTCATTTTGCAAAGATGTCTTTTTAGAGCCTCATTCATTTTTCTCCACCTTTTTGGAAGACTCTAGCTTCTATGCACAATGGAGGTGACAGAGAATATCCAGTGCCTGAGAGACACCCTGTGTGACTGTTGCTTTATAAAAAAAAATTTTAAAGCCCATTATCACTCTGTAATTTCTTAGGAAGTCCAAATATGGGGGTGATTTTTCAGACCAAAACCTTTATTACCTCTTGTGCCTTTACTGTTCTACAAGAAAATACCTCAACCCCAATTGGTGAAGGTATCTACCTAGACCAGTAAGTATTGCAGTGGTGCACACCTGTAATTGCAGCACTCAGAAGGCTGAAGCAGGAGGATCACTGTGAGTTCAAGACCATCATGGGCTTTCATAGTAAATTCAAGGCCAGGCTTTACTACAAAGCAAGATCCTGTCTCAAAAAACCAATGATAACAATAATAAGAAGAATAGTAAGTATTGAGGTCCCTTACTCTTTGCCATATGAGTAAAACTGAATCTCCAGTCTTCTTCGGGGTGTTTACCACATCTAGAGGAGCTGTGGCCCACGTAAAAGAATCGTTCTTTTGGTAGAACTCAAACATCTTAACTATCTGTTGTATTGTTTGAGAAAGCCCCTTTCCTGTGAATAATTTTGAAGCCATCTGCTGGGTCTTGCCTCTCCCCAAGTGGAAGATTTGATGCAAAGACTTAATAATTTTCCACTGACTGCACTAGCAAGGAATAGTTTACCATCAGACTGTAACCATTCTGCTGGAAGGAACTGACACCCATGTCAGACAGCCCATCTGGTTTCTGACTGAGAGTATGGGGTCAAATATGATCAGGGGACCCTTCCCAGGTCAGAGAGGCCTAAAGGAGGTGGGGCCCTTGAGCAGCTTCTTTTGATTACCTTGAGATACATCATTAACTCCTTTTTGGTGCCCTGTACAGTAAATAACCACCACAGGGCATACAAACAAATAATAAAAGTTCGTCTGTCTCCTTGTGATTAGGAGAGATCCACTGGCCGATAATTTTTCTTTCTATATGACTGCATAGGCAAGTAATACTAGGAAAGCATACTTTTAATTAGTATAAATACTGCCTTTTTGCCCTTCATTGTGTTGTAAAGCTCTAGTCAGAGCTGTGAGTTCTGCTAGCTGAGCACTAGTTCCTGGGGCAACTGAGAAACTTCCAAGTGTCTGATACAGAGTCACTACTACATACCCTGCCTTTCTTGTCCCATTTTTATGAAGGAACTACAATCACAGAAGAGGATCCAATCAGGGTTAGGAAAAAGTGTGTCTAATAAGTCTTCCCTGGCTGCTTGAGTATGGAGAATTACCTGTCCATAGTCTTGTCTTTCAGCCTCAATTTCTTCCTTATCTAGTAGGTAGGTTGCCAGGGTTTAAGGAGGAACATGTCTTTATTGGAATGGCTGATCCTTCTGGAAGTAGAGCCTGGGGGCCAAGCATATAGCTCAGCAGCACAGTGTCTGCCTGGCAAGCACAAGGTCCTGAGTTCAATTCCCGGTACCCCCCCAAAAAAAAAGGTAAATCCTAGTATTTAATAAGTAGGTTGTCTGGTAATCACAGTCTCCTTTTGAAAGAAGGAAATTCTGCCACATTGTAAAGTGTATGTACAATGAAATATTTGCCTAAAGTCAGCTTGGATCCCTCCAGTACTGAGAGTGCCACCATCGCCACAGCTCTAAGGCACACAGGCCACCCTTTGCTGATTCAGATACCTTATAGGCTGTTGAGCCGGTCCTAGATCCTGTGTAAGCACTCCCAAAGCTATCTCCTGCCTTTCATCAACATACAGATTGAAAAAGTGTCCTGTGGGTGGCTTGTTGCTGGGCATTTAGAAGCATTTGTTTAGCTTCTGGAATGCAGTCTGGAAATCAGGTTCCCAGGTTAAAATATGGGTATCTGTCTTTGGATTTCCTTTATAAGCTGATAGAGGGGTCCTGTGATCTCATCATATTCTACCATTTAAAGGTAACAAAAGCCTAAATTCCTAAGTATACTGTTAACTGTTTTAGAGTCTTGGATTGTGGAAAGGAAAATATTGGTTTAATTCTCTCTTCCTTTGTGCCTTAGGTACGATCAGGCTCAAGTATTCTATCTCAAGGCTGCAAAGTCTTTGACTTAGAAACCTTAAAAGTCTGCTAGGAAATTTAGCACAGCATGAGTGCCTTGGTTAGCTTTTCTGAGGGGGTACGTAACGGCATGTCATCTGCATATTGTAAGACTGTGACCTGGGAAAATTTAAAATGTGCCAAGTTATGGGAAAGCACACTACCAAAAAGATGACTGTCTCTGAATCCTCGAGGAAACACAGTCCATGTTAGTTGTGGGCCTGGTTGTGAAAACTTTCAAAGGCAAAGAGAAACTGGGACTCTGTATATAAAAGAACACAAGAGAAGATATCTTTTAACTGTAACCTTGAAAACATCTTTCAGGATCTGAGAAAGGAATGAGGTTAGGTACCACCAAGTGGCTTGGAAACTACAATCTAAGGTCCTGTATCCACCTTTACTCCCCATCAGGTTTTGAGCTCCCAAGACTGGAGTGTTGTACAGGCTGGTATAGGTTTTGAGTAAACTTTGTGCCTTTAAGTTATCAATTATAGGCAATAATTGTCTCTTAACCTTAGGCATTAGAGGTATTGTCTCTGGTGGGGAAAAATAGTAGGATCTTTGAGACGTATTTGCACCAGAGCAGCTCTTTTAACTCTATCTATTTTACCTTTAGTTGTCCATACTTTAGGATTTATTTTTCTCTCCAAGAAGGGGAGGCAGTGTACCTGACCTGGTGGAGAGCCGCTTCAGGATTGCTTCAAAGCTCAGGGTATTTGACATGACCTCATTGTCTAACACAGGCACACAGGAGGATACATTTATGTAACCATGACTCAGCAGAAGCAACTATGCGTGTGCTACATGGTTATGACAGTACACAAGAACACAAACTTGATAATGGCTAATATATACAAGCTGGACAAAAGTGACAGGAGCATCTGCTCTCTCTGCTCCACTGCCATTTGCCAGTGATGACTTCTTGTGGTTTCTCTTCCCTGGGAATCTCTCCTGCAGGAAATTCACCACCTATAAATGGTGTAGTCAGCAGGATTCTGAGGCAAGTGACCCCCTGGCATCTGTGGAAGCCACACCTGACAGTGAGGAAGAGCACCGAGGAATTGCCAACTTGCGTCCCCATCTTCACTTCCAAGTAGGACCCCAAAACCAAGCTCCCAAGCAATGACCCAGGGGGTGGCATTGGGAAGAGTCCCCACTGTTGAGGAGAGTAGTGACTTGTAGGACATGATCGGGGGGCATAAGAGCACAGGCACATGGGAGCATGGCAGCCATGGGCACCAGGGTGAGTCCCCCTGCCACCACTGGTCTAGTGCCTCAAGGACCAACAACCCCACCACAGCTGGCCCAGCTGTTGGGACAAGGACAGCAACAGTGGTGTGTCCCACCAGCAGCACCAAGAGTCCTCATTCTAGTGCAGTGGCTCAAGGAGGACCTGAGACTGTTGGGCGCAGGCGCTCAACATACCGTACCCCACCCGGGACTAAGGACCACACCAGCTTCCGCAATGCGCTACGTCCCTCTTTAAATTAGCCAACCCGTGCACACCTTGTGCTCACTCCGTATTCACCCTGTGCCGACTCTGTGGCAACTCCTGATTGGCCACAGCTGGATATGTTAGCCAGAGCCTGCGTCCCATTCCCGCCCTGCTTCCTCGTGGCAGCCTGTGATTGGT